CTTAACTGGGAGTCTTGTAGCCTTGCCCACTAAGTTCTCACTGCACTGTGTCAAGCCTGTGCCTGTTGCTGGTAGCACACAGCTCCTTTATCAGGTTATGAGCCCCACTTCAACCTTGACACCCTGCAACTGCGCTCTTTAGTGCTCAACTAGGTCACCTGACCAGTTACCCATTTTGATATTTCCTTATTGAGAAACCATAACATTTATTATTTGTAATAAGTACCTTATTGGGAAAATCCAAAAATAAATTAGGCATTTTTGTGCCTGTATGAGCGCTATATAAATATACATGTTTGTTGATTAGTACCTTTGAAGGGAAAGCAACTTACATTTATTTTTCCCTCCATTTGATCCTCCAGTCACAGACTGACGTCGACACTATCCCATACATGTTGATTTTATATACCTATATTATCCTTGTACAAATTTTTGATAAATTATTCATGAGATTCTGGTCGCATAGAATGGTCCACACGGGTGCTTGGCACTTGAGACTGGATTGTTCATCCCATATGCACCATTGTGTTGACACTTTTGGACAAAATTTGAAAGGAAAATCATCGTACATTCATGAGACATTGATCTACATAGAAATGTACGACCAAAATGTCATTAAACTATCATTTTTTCTTTCCCCACCCTCCCACCCTCCTGTTGCTTGATAACATGGCCATTATGCTGTACATTCCACACAGTCTCCCAACGATGGACCCGACTTGTGAAATGTGGGGGTGATATGGAGAAAATATAGACATAGATCTATAGGGAAAGGAAACACTCAATCATAGATTAGGGGGTGCTCCTCACAAGCCCCAACCCAATCATAGATTAGGGGGTGTGCTATTTAGCACATCAAGCTTACCATGTAGACAAGTGAACACACTAGTCTTTTCATGTGAGTATCTGCCTAGTCATCAGATATCCATGGTAATGCGAGTATCTTTCAAGGCTTGGCTAGCATCTTGACAGACCACTTAAGCCCTTTAAAGCTTATAACATTGATTGATGCGACATTTAGTCCTGAGCATGACAATTAAACTGCATCACATTTATGGCAGTCACCCATATCTAGTTCATGATGATGTAGACTGTTGTTGACAAACTCCACTGTCGCAGCAAGCTCATTATTCACTTGACAATGATATTTCTAAATCAGAAAATTAGTATAGAATACTACGAAGGCAAGCAGAAAACAATCCAACTGAGCATAGTGATAGCCAACCGAGATTGCATTCATACTAGTTCTTACATCACAAAGAACCACTGTTTTTCCTTAAAATGATTAGAAACCAAATAAAGCCAACCCAGATTGTGGAGTTATCAAATCTGAAGAAGTGCATGACACTTGACTAGCCAAAATATTCGATCAAATCTTGCATATCAAATCTTCACTCGATCGAATATCCATTTGCATAGTATACTGTGAAATATACTGTGACAAATAGGGCAGATACTGTCCCTGAAACAAATTCCTGTTTCTAAATACTTGAGTGAAGTAAGGGCAAGCATAGTTCCTGAAACAAAACCCTTGTTTCTAAAAAGCATTTGGACCTGGGCAGCTTTGAGCGCCCTATGGCATGTGACTTTGCAAGATTATGTAATAAAGAACATATACTGGTTGAGTTTCGAACTTGGTACTTCACCGCCCCCATGGCACAGTGAAAGCATCCATGGGGGCACGACAAGAACGTGTGAATTCGACAACGACCGATGACAGCGTTCGACAACTGGTGAAGCCCAGTATCTGGAGTGATACTGAAGGGCCGTGGCAGGGCCTTAAATGTCTCTTTTTACCAATCATGCATTTACACGACCTTGGCACGTCATTAAACTGTTCAATTTTTGGCAGCTTTGAGCGCCATGAATGACCTAGTGCAAGTCATTAAACTGCAAGCACCTTGACCTGAAGC